CAAATGAAAGATGTCCAGAAGAGACATTAGACATGACACAAAAAGAAATTCAGGTACCTGATAATGATGAGATCTCAACTAATTATGTCATGTCTGGAATCAGATGAAACCGAAAGCAAATCGACGTCGATGAAATGTTTGCATGCAATATAGCAGTTGATGTTAGGGATGAGGATCAAGAACCAAAATCTATTGTAGAGTTTACACAAAGAAATGATTGGCCAAAATGAAATGAGGCAATAGATGCAGAATTGAAATCTCTTTCAAAAAGAGAAGTATTTGGACCGGTAGTCCGTATACCTATGGGTATAAATCCAGTAGGACACAAATGGGTTTTCGTGCGAAAGAGAAATGAAAATGGTGAAATTGTGAGATACAAAGCACGTTTAGTTACACAAGAGGTTTTTCAAAAACCTGGAATTGATTATGAAGAGACATACTCTCCCGTGGTGGATGCAACTACTTTCAGGTTTCTTATTAGTCTGGCAATAAAAGAAGGACTTGATTTTTCGTTTAATGGATGTAGTCACAGCCTATCTATGTGGTCCACTGGATACTGATATTTATATGAAAGTCCCATACGGATTTAAATTTCCAAAAGAAGCAAAGTCTAATTCTCAAAATGATTATTGCATAAAGTTGAATCGATCTCTTTATGGGCTGAAACAATCAGGGCGTATGTGGTATAATCGCCTCAGTGACTATTTGTTGAAAGAAGGCTATAAAAATGACCCTATCAGTCCATGCATTTTTATAAAGAGATTTCAGATAGGATTTGTCATAATTGCAGTGTATGTTGATAATTTAAATATTACTGGAACTCCTCAAGAAATCTCACATACAATAGAGTATCTGAAGAAAGAATTTGAAATGAAAGATCTCACAAAAACAAAATTTTGTTTGGGACTACAAATTGAGCACCTAAGGAATGGAATTATTGTGCATCAAACAACATACACAGAAAAGGTGCTTAAAAAGTTTTCTCTGGATCAAACACATCCTTTGAGTAATCCAATGGTTGTAAGATCACTTGATGTGAAAAAGGATCCTTTCCGCCCTATTGAAAAAGATGAAGAAGTTCTTGGTCTTGAAGTACCATGCTTAAGTGCAATAGGGGCATTAATGTATCTTGCTAGTCATACAAGACCTGACATATCATTTGCAGTAAACTTGTTGGCAAGATTTAGCTCATGTCCTACTCGTAGGCACTGGAATGGGATTAAACATGTACTTCGTTACCTCCAAGGTACGAAAGACATGGGTCTATTTTTCCCTAACACATCTACAGAGGATTTGATTGGTTTTGCAGATGTTGGATACTTTTCTGATTCCCACAACGCTAGATCACAAACAGGATATGTATTCACATGTGGTGGTACTGCTATTTCTTGCGTTCTATGAAGCAAACCATCACAACCACTTCTTCTAATCACGCAGAAATTTAGGCTATTCATGAAGCCAGTCGTGAGTGTGTATGGTTAAGGTCTGTCGTTCATCATATACGAAGAGATTGTGGTATAACTGCAGGGGAAGAGGTCCCAACCATTATGTATGAAGACAATGCTGCATGTATCGCACAGCTCAAAGACGGATACATAAAAGGAGATCGGACAAAGCATATTCTACCAAAGTTCTTTCTCACTCATGAGCTGCAGAAGAAAGGCGATGTTCAAGTTCTACAGATCCGTTCAAGTGAAAATTTGGCAGACGTATTCACAAAGGCGCTACCAACTGCTACTTTCAGAAAGTTAGTTCATCTTATTGGATTGCGCCGTCTCAAGGATCTTGAGTGATGTCCTTATGAAAGGGAGTAATGCGTGCTGCACTCTTTTTCTCTTAGCTACGGTTTTTCCCATTGGGTTTTTCTAGTAAGATTTTTAATGAAGCAGCATCTTAAACGCATTACAAACTATTTTTCAGAATGGACATCCAAGGGGAGTGTTATGAATATTCTTTTATGGATGTCCATATCTTCTAGAAGATTCTATATTTACTTGTGTATCAATTCGTATTTATCTCCTATATATTAGCCAAAGGCTCCGAATGATGACGGCGTATTTGGTTGTGTGGGAAAAGCGGTTTTAAAGTGCGGTACGGTTTAACTGCGGTATGTGCGGGAGAATTCAACTGCAGTACGTGCGGGAGAATTCAACTGTGGTACATGTCGGAGAAATTTAACTGCGATATGTGTAGGAGAAATTCAATCGCGATACATACGAAAAAAAACTATTTGAAAGATAAATGTGTTTAATACAAAATAAGTGGTGTAAATATTGTTTAATTAGTGAAAAAATAACAAATATGCAATATGATAGATATTTCAGAAACAAATATATTAAAAAATATTAATAAAAATATAAATTAGAAATTGTCTAAACATATTTTTCAAAAAAAAAACTGTATTGATCCATTTAATTGATTTCATATTTTTTTCTATAATTTTTCAATTTATTTTGTTATTTCTAAAATTTTAACATAATTTTTATAAATACAGTTGTAATACATAAACCCCCACATGAAAACAAAAACTACACCAAACGTAATTACTATTCCATGCAATTTTAATTTTTTCTTTACAAAATCAAAACCGCATTTCTACTATTCATTTTTTTATTAAAAAATATAAAAACGCTCTGCAGTTACAATAAATTTTGATGAATGGTAACATAAATGCGGATTTGCAAATACCGTCTCGCATTTATGAAAAACGCGGTTACCATTCATTGCCTTTATTTCCAAACTAAATCTAAACCCTTGTATACTCCCTTATTTAAGGGATTCATTATTCTTGGAATAAGATACACAAAAAAACCTTCTCTTCTCTCTTTTACTAAAACATTATAACATTTAAAGATCAAACAAGATAAGTTATGGCATATTCAAGGTAGACTCGTAGTCGTCGACTGCTAATTTTGGGTATACCATCTCGGCTTTGCAGATATCGTGTCCATCAAAATAGTTCAAAAACGTTATTCAGAGTAATCTCTTTTGAGCATTGAATATTGAACAGAAACATTGATAAAATCACAAATTCTGATTTATAACCAAAAATGATATTATATATTTATATATATAGTTATTTTCTATATTTTTTATATTGTGCACACTTTCAACAAGCGGAAGCTTTAGTCTGTTTCAATCTCTTACAGTACAAATAAACTACTAATATATTAGACAGCAGCATATCATATAGTATTGAACCGATTCACGCGATTTTCAAAATTCTGATCTTTTTAAATATTATAGACACCGGTCGAATCAAGTTTTTTTTTTTTAATAAATTATTTACGTTTGCTTCTCTAGATGATTCACAATTCGTAAGCTACCAAATAAATCAAATATGTATGACTACCCGCTTAAAATCTCTCTCTCTGTTCTCTCTCTAAAAATCTTTCACAGAGAGTGTGAGTGTTTCTTCTTTTGATGTAAAAATTCCGATTAACATCGGATATCTTTCCGGTTTAATCCGGAGTTAATAATTTCTAACTTTTGGATTTCATCTCCGACTGTGTTCGGCTTTTCTCTAATTAGTTTAGTTTAGTTTGTATTAATCCTTTTGCAGCTCTTTCATCTTCTTCCATCGGAGGAGATAAACGCCATGTATTGCTCGGAGACTCTGCTTTCGCCAATCTGCTCGATTCCTAGTATCAGGAGAGTAAATTCCTTCATACCCCCTATTGGGGCCGTAAAATCGGCTTTGTATGAAGGTTTCTTCGCATGCAAAAGAATCGTGTTTATGAAGATCGTTGGTGGGTTTAGAACGGAACAGGAGAGCAAAGTTGCTCTGATCTCTAGCCTTGCCGTGACTTCTTGTACTTCAAAAATCAGATAGCTTGTGAGTCTTTGTTCTAAACACTTGGTAATTTACGCAGAAGGATGAGGTGGTGTGATCGTGAATCAAGCGGCTGCCTTTGCTGGATGTTGTTGCCGGAGGATAATGAATTTCCCCGATTCCGGTGAAGCTTGCCGTGCTTGAGTCGGTTGTGTTTCCAACCCAACTTGTTTGCAAACACGTGTTTATACACATGTCTCTTTACTGCTTTGCTTAGACCATCCACAACGCAGTATCAACCGAGTTCATCAGCGGGGCCCAACGTAATATTTTTGATTTGTTTTAATCATTTTGGCTCACATACTCGTTGATACCGTCTCAAAAAGATGAGCCGGACGAACCTGTATCGTCGAGGTTCAACGGTATGTGGCACATGCGTATTGGTTGTTGGAGGGAGTTAATTTTTTATTATGGGAAGCAATTTTTCTGGTTCAGTTTTATTTTTCTTTCTCTCATCAAAAATATTATTAAAAAATTCTGATGAACTCCAACATGAATATCAGGGTTGTGGATGATCTTATAACACGTAGTTATCTTTATGGGCTTAAGTTTGTATCTGTTAGGCTTAACTCTACCACTTATAATTGCCCTTTTGGGTTTATAATGCAGAAGTCGACAAAAAAAAAATGTATGACTACCCGCTTGATATTTTTCGTTATATATTATTGATATAATTATAAATAAATCGTTTGATTTGGTGACAACTCAAATACAGTAAGATCTTTTCTTATCCATTCCCAACCAATCTTTTAAAACAAAGATAACGTTTTCCACTGTTCCACGCTATTTGATTGAATTTTGTCTTTATAAATAAACCCTTTTGATTTGAGGTGCTTTAGACCATCTACAACGCAGTATCAACCGAATTCATCAGCGGGACCCAACGTAATATTTTTGATTTGTTTTAATCATTTTGGCCCACATACTCGTTGATACCGTCTCAAAGAGATGAGCCAGACGAACCTGTATTGTCGAGGTTCAACGGTACGTGGCACAAGCGTATTGGCTGTTGGAAGGAGTTAATTTTTTATTATGGGAAGCAATTTTTCTGGTTCAGTTTTATTTTTCTTTCTCTCACCAAAAATATTATTAAAAAATTCTGATGAACTCCAACATATCAGGGTTGTGGATGGATATCAAAATCAAAGGTAATGGTCTAACCTCCGGCCTGATGGATCTAGAGAAGTTAACATCAAATGTGAAGCAAATACAAGACGATGTATTGACGGAGATTCTCACACTTACTGCCAACACAGAGTATCTCCGAGGCTACCTCCATGGAAGCTCTGATAAAGAGTTATTCAAGAAGAACGTACCGATTGTGAGCTACGATGATGTTAGGCCTTACACTACAAGAAAACATGGCTGTTTCCTACAGAAAATATCGTCAGTAAATCGTAGGAAATGGCTGTTTACTACGGAAATCTGACCAAAATTAGTCGTAAGTTATTGGCCGTCGGAAATAAGAAAAAGAAGAAATTTTGTCGGAAATTTCCTACGAAAAAAGTGGTAGGAAAATTTTGTCAGATCTTTTGGTAAGAAAACCGTAAACAAACACCGACCAATTTACCACCATTACCCTTCGCATTATTTCCTTCCTAATCCTGACGAAAATGTATCTACCAATTTCCTACGATTTTTGCCTTCCATTTTCCGACCACAAACTTTCCGACGAAAAACCTACGTATTTTTTCCTACCATTTTCCTACCAATTTATCCTATGATTTTAAAGATTTCCGACGACATGATATTTTCTACCAATTTAATAAATTTTCAAAATGCATTTTATTTTGAAAATTATATAAGAAATACAAGATGCATTATATAAAATAGAAGATACCATAATTAGATTAAGTATCTAAGTTGTTTTACAAAACACCAAAATAAGCATTATAAATACATAACTTGAAACTTGGTTCACAAGCAAAGCAACCAACCCCCAAAATAAACTAACACCCCATTACGTGGTCTCTCCTACGCCTGCGTCTCGTCTTCTTGCGTCTCGTCATCGTCGGCATGAGCTGAAGGAGGAATGGGCAGACTGAGATCATTGTTGTGTATAGCTACGCCTGCGTCTCGTCTTCTTGCGTCCCATCTCCTCTCCAAGGTTTTAGGACCATTGTTGTGTATAGCTTGTCCTAATCTTTTTCTCTCGCTTCTCCTATTCTTGGAGTTTTTCACCGAAGTCTTTGCCACCGGTGCTGTGCTCCACATTTTCATGTAACCTTCAAAGAGAGATTTCCTTGCCTTAATCCAATCAGGAGCATCATATGGTCCTTTCTTCTTCAGGGTCTCTTTCCACTCATGAAGGTTTGACCTGAATGATGCATCTGCTTGAAGGTCATAAGCGGTTCTGACTGTCTCAGTGATGGATGGATCCCAATTGAACTCTTGCTGTAAAAGAGAAAAAAAATGTTGTTAGATAGTTAGCAAAAACAAAACATCATAATTATACAAAGAGGAAAAACTCATCAGAACTAACCGCAAAAGCTCTAAACCACTGATTTTTAACAGCTATTGGGAGGCTTCGATATGTAGGATAAGATTTGGGGAGATAGGACTTCATCATCTTCAATATCTGCTTAGTGATCTTCCCTGTTGCGTGATGCCTAAACCTTTAGAAAAAAAAATGTTTAATAGTGATTAGAAAGTTGTTTTGTATGGTGCAAAAACATGTGAAGTATAAAACATATGATTTTAAAATCTGTTTAACATAGAAGAGGTACCATGTTGCTCCTCCTTCACGATCAGGGTGAAGGTACAAGAGGCTTTGCCGACCAGGAGCAAGCAACAGATCATCAACACAACATGAAGTTTCTGTTCGTGATTCACCATCTTCGTTCTCTGTAGAATCACGGTTTGGTACTCCTGGGCTCCTTTCAGGACTGGGAAGATTGTCTTCAGGGTTAGGCTGCCATGGATAGTTGTTGGGGTCGAACCCATCTAACGTGAAGGCTGGAGTGGAGCTGTCACGGAGTTGTCTCTCTTGAGACATAAACCTTTCAAAATCCTGCAGAGTATGCTCCTGCAAAGACACGTTACTTTGTTGTTATTACTTTGCACAAACAGTCATAAACATTTTACAAATCAATAAAAAATCAAATCAACTTGATCAATAAAAAAATACAAGATCATCGTTTGCATTCACATGTTCAAAATCAAATTACCAAATATACTCATTTGTTAGAATGCAAAGAATGAGTATATAATTATACAGTATCAGTTGTTTCATTTTTATATTCACGTTCTGTCATAATTAAAAAACAAAAAAATAAACAGAACGAATGAGAGATAAACAATTAAAGAATAAGAAACAAGAGTCAGAGATATACGGCTTCACTAAAGTTTGATACTTGTTAAAAATTAATATGCGGTTGGAAAAAAAGAGGCGTTGAGTATATATGCTTTGGTATACGCATTTAGAGAAGACGTGCAAGTTAAAAGAAGAGGCATATTAACAATCCTTTCATTTTAACAGTTAAACAAACAATAATTAGTTTACATAATGAGATACAACATCGAAATTTAGTTAGCTAAACAGTAATAAACTACTCAGTCTGAATATATAAAGAAGAATGGAAATCCAAATTTATAAACATAATGAGAGACAAAATCGAAATCGAAATGACCAACAGCAATGCATAATCCAGACAAAATGGTAGACATGCAAGGGGATTAAGGGTTTACTTACAGAGAAATTAGGAATGGGTGGTGAGGAGATGTTTCCCGTCATCTCTTGATTCCCTGTGTTCGTCGGATTTGGTGGATTCCGCCTTGATTTCGAACCATTGGGCGGTTTTCGGTTTGAAGCCATACAGAAACGGAGAAGAGATTGAGAGAAACTAGCTAGCAGAGGAGGATTTGCAGAGAAGTTAAGAAAGGAAGAAGATGGAGTAAGCGGCTGTTTAGTCGATAAAATAAGTGGACACTTAGCAATTCTCTTGTTTTAATATTAGGGTTACGGAATTTGGTAGAAAAGGGCTCAGTTTTTGGTAAGGAAAGCGTCAGGTTTTGGTAGGTAATCGTTGGTTTAAGAAAACCATATTATTATTGGTTTACTGAATTGGATAGGACTTTGGTAGGAAATTCGTAGGTAAAATGAATTACCTTAATTTTTCCGAAAAAAATTATGTTAATGTGTTTTAAATTACAAAATTATAGCATAAAAATTTATTTGGCCATTATTAAATAAAATTTAACTTAATTGAAATTTTATAAAAACAAAATGTTACATTAAACTTAAAACATCAAAAAAAAACATACTACTATTCACCATCCGATTAATAAGTTGATGAAACTGAATCAGTATCATCATCTTCAAATTCTCCAATCTCTTCTTCAGAAACTTCTAATATATCATCGATAATTATATCTCCCATTTGTGTCAAAGGAGTTTCTCCAATAGATTGATTAACAGAACCTACATGACCGAGAACAGTTTGTTGCAAAGGATTGTGATCTGTTACTCCGTGTACTCTTCCCCTTGGATATATTTGTGTAACAGTAATCCATGGATCTTGTCTTCAAACTGTATCCTGGACGAAATATCTTGAATGCATAACCCCGGGTATGTTTTGAGACAATTGTTGAATCCCATCAGCTGTAAGTGATCGTGTGCACAGATCTCTAAAAAAAGCACTTATTCCTACCGTCACACAAGAACCAATAATCAATTAGTTAATAACAATAATGTAAAATTGTACATTATAAAATGGATTATACCTGCAATAGCTTCATGCACAGATTTTGGTAACAGCTCTGCAAATGCGAATGGTAGCAAACGTTGCATAAAAACATGACAATCATGACTCTTCATCCCATATAATCTACCTTCATCATTGTCCACACAATTGTGTAAGTTAGAAGCATAACCGTCTGGAAATTTCACATTATTGATAATCCAATGAAAAAATGCATCTCTGGAATCTCCATCTAATCTGAAACTCGGGATCGAAGCCTTTCCATTTTCTAATACATGTAGAGCTTCATGGGCACATAAATGTGGTAAGTCTAACCTTGACTTCAAATTGTCTTTCGTTTTCCCCGAGACGTTTAGGACGGTATTCATGATGTTGTCGAAGAAGTTCTTCTCAATATGCATTACATCAAGATTATGTCTCAACAAAAGATCCTTCCAATATGGTAAATTCCAGAAAATACTCTTTTTGTGCCAATTATGGAATTCTCCATAACCGCCCACCATGACATGTCCATTACCCCCACATTCTGCTGTTGTATCAACATCAAAATCTCGAAATTGCTTCCATAGCTGATTACCATCAATCTCAGGCGGAGGAGGTTCGAGAACAACTCTATTTTTCATAAATAACCTCCTGTTCCGGCGATAAGGATGCGAGATTGGTAGGAAGCGCCTATGACAGTCAAACCAACAAGACTTCCGTCCATTTCTCAATTGGAAAGCATCTGTATTGTCCTGACAATATGGACATGATAACCTTCCATGCGTTGTCCATCCAGATAACATTCCATATGCTGGAAAATCCCCAATGGTCCACATTAGAACTGCATGCATTGTAAAATTTTGTTGGCGTGACACATCATAGGCTTGAACCCCATGCTCCCAAAGATCTTGCAATTCATGAATTAAAGACTGTAAAAACACATCAAGAGACCGCTTTGGGTGTTCAGGACCAGGTACAAGTACCGTTAGGAATAGAAACTCTCGCTTCATGCATAGTGATGGAGGCAAATTGTAAGGAGTGACAATGATTGGCCACAAAAAATATTTTCTCCCATGCTTCCCAAATGGGTTGAAATCATCCGTACATAGACCAACATATACATTCCTGCTCTCAGATGCAAACAATGGATAAACTGTTTGAAAATGTTTCCATGCTTCTACGTCTGACGGATGCGCTATTTCTCCATCGTTGGAATGTTCTTGATGCCATCTCATAGGCCCTGCTGTGCGCTTTGAGTGATATAACCTTTTCAACCTATCTGATAATGGCAAATACCACATACGTTTAAACGACACTCTTACCCTTCCACCATTATTCTGAAATCTAGGTTTTCCACAAAATCGACATTCCAAGTAGTCAGCAGTTGATTTCCAATAAATCATACAAATGCAAACGTCGATCATCTGATATGGCAAACCTAAACCAAAAACAAGCTTCTCAATCGCATAATATGAGGCTGGTGCTAGATTGTCTTCTGGTAATAGATCTTTCACAAGATCAGCAATAGCATCAACACAATCCTCAGACAAATTGTGGTCCGTCTTGATATTCATAATTCGTGTTGCAGTTGACAAAGGAGAATGACCTACCTTACAACCTTCGTATAAGGGATGCTTTGCTGCATCTAACATACTGAAAAATTGCCTTGTTTCAGAATTTGGCTCTTCTACTCTATTTTCATATTCCATAAACGCATCATTAACCATCTGGAGCGTACTTATGTTTTGTACTTGCATCCTAGGTTCCTCAGACCTCTCTATTTCACTGCCTTGTCTAATAGTACTAACGTCAATCACGACATCTCTCTCTCCGTGATAATACCAAAATTTGTAATTTGGTGTAAACCCGTGATTATATAAATGATTCCACGCTTTATCTACAGTGATAAATTTTTTATTATCACAACGTAGACAAGGACAAACTATTTTACCGCTGTTTAAGCATGTTTCCTGGTTTGTTGCAAAGTGCATAAACTCAGTGAGTCCTATGGCAAACTCATTTGTAATTTTCCCGGTAGCTGTATCCCACCTATCATTATACATCCACGCTCGTGAATGACTATTTTCCATGTTTGAAAATAGGCCTAATTGATGTAAATTTTTCACTATAGGTCTTACACTTGACAAGGTGAGTGTTAGATGGAGGAAATAGAAAGTTGTTATTTATAGTGCAGTTTTCTCAGCTTAATTTTATCAATTTTCCGATGTGGGACAAAGCAGAGTTAAGTTTTTTGCAACGTCTGATATAGTCCTACAGATATCTTACGATAATCCTACAAAAACATTTTCGTCAGAAACACGTAGGAGAATTTCCGACGAAAAACTGACAAATCTAAAAGTCATAACCTAACCTACGACATAGCTACCATAATCCGACCTGTTTTCCTACGAAGTTGAGTTTGGTAGGTTATCGGAAGGAAGTTTCCTACCAGTTTTTTGACGATTTTTTTTCGTAGGTGATTTCCTACGATTTTCCTTTAACCTCTCTTTTTCGTCATATTTACGTAGGAATATGGTGAAAAAAATGTTCTACCAAATTTTTTGTAGAAAATTTTGTAGGATACAGACATGTTTTCTTGTAGTGTTATATCCAACGCATAGCGAATGGAGAACCTTCAGATATCATCTCGGGAAAACCTATTACTGGATTTCTCTTGAGGTATACTTTATCCAATTCTAGAGTACAAAATTTATCATATGGATGATGGATCAAGTAGTTATATCTTATATATAAAAATTGCTCAACTCTCTCCATATGAGTGACACATCAGCATTTGAGAATTGATATGGGAATGACATGTGTCATTTTAAAGAAAATTAATTAATAAATTTTAAGTGTTAAACCACTCAAAAAAAATGAAAAGTTTTTTTAATTGAATCTTAAATAACATTTATGTAAATATTAAACAAGAATTTATGTTATAATTAATTAAAAATTGATGTTTTTAATAACTTTTTGATTTTTAATGATATTATATTTTAAATTAATTGATTTATAATAAAATATTAACAAATGATGATCATTTAAAAAAAATTACCAAAATATATAAATTTGAAATAGTTGAAGAAAAAATATATTTAAAATTACAGTTTTAAAAAAGAAAATTAATTAATAGATTTTAATATTAAATTTTAAACTACTCAAAAAAATATATATTAATTGATTTTTAAATAAAATTTATATAAATATTAAACAAGTATGCTATATAATTAATTAAATATATTGATAGATAATTAAACAAGACTTTATGTAAATATTAACTCTTGATTTTTAATGATATTGTATTTCAAATTGATTGATTTATAATAATATACTAACACATAACAAATCATGTTTATATTTTTTTTAAGAAAATACAAAATATATAAATTTGAAATAGTTGAAAAAAAAAATCCTCACATATTCACCTAGTATATAAAATATATATGTAAACTCAAATGTCATCTGCTTTGCGACATCGTTGGTGTGTAGCTCTGGAACCTCTGGAGGGAAACTAAAGATCTTGCCTGCAAACAACAAGTTCTTTGAGGACATGGCATTCATCTTTGCTCTACGATCTGTCATTATATCAAAGTAACTCTTCAAATATATATATATATATATATATTTTTTTTTTTAGTTGTTCTAAGTTGGGGTGAAAAATACGAATATTTAGACCAAAATTAGATATAATCGAAACTGAGGCGAAACTAAGTTGGGCTTGTAAAATTAGATCCCTCTACTGTATATATAAGCCTCACCATAAACTCAATTCTAACAGGAAACCAAAAAAAATTTCGTTTTCCTAATAGGAATGTACCACATCAATTTCTTAATACGAGTGGACTACTGATTTTTCTAATAGAAATATCCCATACCCTTAAAAAACCTTATACTAGCCGAAATCAATTAGACGTTTTCGTCACTTTAACAACAGTAGTGTACATCTAACTTTGAACTCAAAGATCCATCCCTTTTATTCTGATATGTAGTAATGTAGGCACATAGAGGGTGTCCAAAAAGGAAAGGCGGTGATGTTTTATTTCACTAAAGCGCCATCTACAACCCCCTCTGGTTTGCCAGTTTGTCCTGCGATTATGAGCTACTTATTAAGTGACAATTTCAAGAACCGGCCTGCGAACTGTTTTACAAGCCCTGACGAAGTGACCTCATGTCCAGATAACAAGCAGGCTATGTACTGCCATCTTCTTTGTGGTCTTGTTAAGAGAGACGAAGTTGTAAGTGTGGCTGCTGTCTTTGCTTTTTCTTTAGTTGGAGCAATCAATTTTCTCGAGAACTATTGGACAGAAATTTGTAGCAATATCCGGTCTGGCCATGTTAGCGAGTGGATCACTGATCTTAGTTGCAGAGACGCTGTTACTAACATCCTAGGAGGAGGTAATTCCAAATTGGCAGATCTTATTGAAGAAGAATGCCAAAAAGAATCTTGGAAAGGTATAATCACACGTCTTTGGCATAAAACAAAATACATACAATGTGCGCTTACAGGACAAAGTGCTCAATACATTCCAATGTTAGAGTTTTACTCCAACAACGTGCCTTTGATCTCTCCGAACTACGCGTCTTCTGAAACAATGTTTGGGGTAAATGTGAATCCCTTATGCAAACCACAAAATGTATCCTACACTTTTATGCCCACCATGTCGTACTTTGTGTTCCTACTTGCTGATGAAGGAAGCGAAGGTGAAATTGTTGATCTTGCGAATGTCAAGATTGGGTCCTACTATGAGCCTTTGATCACAAATTATTCCGGTGAGTTATTTATTTTTGGTATCCATTTAGTATATAATTTGGTGTTCTCAAATGATAAAGAAATTAAAAGTTTTTTTAAAATTGTTGTTATTAGGTTTACACAGATATAGAATGGGAGATATTCTACAAGTGTCTGGATTTTACAACAATTCACCTCAATTTAGGTTCGTACGCAGGAAAAATATGGTTCTAAGCGTCAACCTTGAAGTAACAACTGAAGAAGACATTTTGAAGGCATTGAATCATGCAACACTCGTTCTTAAAAATTCAGATCTATTATTGATGGGATTAACATCTTATTCTGACATCTCCACTCTTCCGGGTCACTACGTATTTTATTGGGAACTCAAAGCCAAAAACATTAATGACACTGTTAAGCTTGATAACAAGGTAATGGTGAAATGTTGTTGTACAATGGAGGAATCATTTAATGAGGTTTATCGAAAGATTAGGAACAGAGATGGACCTATTGGAGCTCTAGAGATAAGGGTAGTGCGACAAGGAACATTCAATTCTCTCATGGAGTTTTTCATCTCTCTTGGTGCTTCGCCATCTCAATACAAGACACCTATGTGCATCAACTCTACTGAAGCCTTAGCGGTTCTTGAACAAAATGTTCTTGCTCGCTTTTTAAGTGACAGGTCCCAACCTCTCTGATCGGATAATTTATCTGTGGATCATGATGGCCTATAAGAGAAACAATCACATAACTGAAGAATAATAAAGGGATAAAGATATTCGGTGAGATGGGTTTATGTTTAGTGGAGAAACTTGTGGTTTGTGTTGCGTAAGTGCTTGATTTGTGTGTATTACCTTTATTTTTTTAAATCGCATGGTTATTATTTTGTGTTATGTAAGTAAATGCCGGACTAATCGATTTAAATGTCCTAGTTTAACTAAAATTTAAAATATGCAACTTTTCAATAATTTTTTTTCAAAATAAAAAACAATACAAAAATAAAAAATTAAAACTAAAATTTCATAAAACATTTTAACTCCATAAATAGTTTTTAAGAAAGACAAAAAAACAATAAAACTAATATTTTTTGTTGAAATATGGTCCTCTTTGCATTTTTTCCTGCAAAATCGTTCATTAAACTTTTATGGTCGAGTTTTTCAACCATACCTGTCTCAATAGATAACAAAACTAACCCATTTAATCACTATTGTGACATGGTATATCGCAAACAATTCTTTATTAGCTTCAACTTTGAAAAAAAAATTTCAGCAGTAGCAACCGATATCAGAACTGTCAACAATATGCGATAAACAACTTTTGTGTTTTGATAACAATTCTCTATTTGTTTCAAAAAATTAAACACTTCAATAACTTCTGAATTTCATTTGGTATTGATTTTCGGAGAATTTTCAGTTCGATAATATTGTTTATTTTGTTGGCATAATATCGATGTGGGACATCGATAAAGGAGCATATTCTTTCTATTCGATATTATGTATATTAAACAAATTCGATATTATGCTCTTAACCAATTGATATTCGATAGATAGAATATGCCCTTTCTAATTCTGATTTTTTTATTATGTTATTAATTTTTTTAATTCTAATTCTCTTAATTCGATAAAATATATGTTATTATATCTTTTCTAAAATAGTATTTATTTAATAAAATAGTTATTATTTTAAAATATACTTTTAACTAATATTTTTGTACAGAAAATTTCATAAACATTACAAAAAATTACAAATATTATTATTTTAAAACAAAATTTTAATTTTGTTTATTTATATATACTCTTTATATAAAAATTAACTAAAAAATGTCCCAATAAATTGGATGCTTTTAGTCCGTCGCTTACCTCGTATATGTTTGAGTCGGCTGTTTGTAAGTTCGTGATTTGTGTACCACCTCTTTCTAAGAAACTTGTTTATCTTTCAATAACCATTTTGGAATAAAATAAATTTATGTTTTGCAGAACATTATCACCATAATCTGTAGTTTTATACAAAAGAAGGCAGTTTTAGACTATATAATTGCTGACTACCGTTTGATGGCCAGGAACCGACAAATTTTTTACTGTATTACGTTGTCACTTAAAATCTTTTATTTTTGACATAACGTTGTTACTTAATCGATTCACACGATTTTCGAAGTTCTTACTTATGTAATTAATTTATACACCTCCAAAGCGAATCAAATCATCTCGTCAGCTTGAGTCTTTTTATATAGTACAAATTAATTTTTAGTGTTATATACTGTACATAAACATTTACTTGATGCTTGTTGACCCAAAAACAAAACACCGTTATTTGAACTGAAGAGATCAAAACTAAAAAAAATAAAAACAATGAGTTCAAGCTTAGAATTCATGGATCTTGAGGAAGTAACGTCGAAAGCGGAGCAAATACAAGATGATTTATTGAAGGAAATTCTCACACTCAACACCAACACAGAATACCTCCAACAGTTTCTTCATGGAAGCTCTGATAAAAAACTTTTTAAGGAAAACGTACCAGTTGTGAGATATGAAGATGTCAAGTCTTACATCGACCGTCAGATGTGATATCGGGTGGACCCATTACTAGATTTCTCCGAAGGTACATACTATCAGAACAGAGTCATCAAACGACGTCACTTCGTTGCTTCCCTCCAAGTCTGCGAATAAATCGGACATGGGCCATTATGCTCTCAAGCCCAAAGCGGCCTCAAGTCATGGGCCCAACAACAGCTGTTCTGCAACAAATCAGACACAACGGATACTTGTTCTGCAAGAAGAAGACAAACTTAAATGCAGAGCAAATAAAGCAATGTTAAAACCAGAAAAGCAGTTTCCCAGAGTCCGTACGACTGAGACTCAGAACAGATTTGAAGCTCTATCATCTCTACCTCAAGATTAACGCAACCGATAGATCTTTGCCATGTGGCATTAGGGTTTCTACCTTTCTTTCATCTTCTTCTAGTATAAATATGATGTTAGGATGTAACAGCCACTCTAAGTTTATGAGAATGAAGTTTCAGATTTCTTAAAACCCTTTGTTTAAAAATCTGTTCATGGTATCAGAGCCTATGGCACAAGAATCCATGGAGCCTTATACTTCTCCTTCTCTTAACATCACAAATTGTGTCACCATCACTCTTACACAGAAGAACTACATTCTGTGGAAGACTCAGTTTGAAGCCTTTCTCTCCGGCCAACGTTTGCTCGGTTTTGTAAACGGTTCCACTCCCAAACCTTCTCCTGTGATTTGGACAACAACTGCAGAAGGTGTTCAGACAGAGTCTCCAAATCCTGATGCAGCAAAATGGGACCAAGTCGACCAGGTCGTTCGTTCTTGGCTTCTTGGCTCCTTCTCTGAGGATCTTCTGAGTCTTGTTGTTGACTGCACCACTTCACTAGATGTGTGGACCTGTCTTGCCAACCATTACAACAAAGTCTCCTCTTCTCGTCTATTTTAGCTCCAACGCAAGCTTCAGACAGTCACGAAGGGTGAAAAACCCATGTCTGAGTTTGTTCAGGAAATCAAAACGATTTGTGACCAACTCTCGTCTATTGGCCAACCTGTTTCTGAAAATATGAAGATCTTCGCTGCTCTCCATGGTCTTGGGCGTGAGTTTGAACCCATAAAGACAAGCATTGAAGGCTCAATGGATCAAACTCCTGTTCCCACCTTTAATGACATCATTCCTCATCTCGCTGCTTACGATGACCGTCTTCAAAGCTATTTGACCTCTTCAGAGGCTTCTCCTCATCTTGCCTTCTACACCAACAGGGGAAGAGGTCAGTATAACCAAAGAGGAAGCAGAGGTCGAGGACGAGGCTCTTCTTTTTCAACTCGAGGACGCGGCTTTCATCAACAGGTCACTTCGTCTCATGCTTCCTCTGATGATGAAAACCGACCCTTTTGTCAGATCTGTGGCAAAAGAGGACATGATGCTCTAAGCTGTTGGCATCGCTTTGATAACACCTATCAGCGACCTGATGTTCACAATGCTTTAGCTGCTCTTCGTATTACTGATGTCACAGACCAGTCAGGTCAAGAATGGTATCCAGATACCGGAGCTAGCTCTCACATCACCAGCTCTCCAAGCCATCTTCATCAGTCTCACCCCTATACCGGATCTGATGCAGTTATGGTTGCCGATGGAAGCTATCTGCCCATTACTCACACTGGTTCAACAGTCATTGGTTCCTCTTCAGGTAAGATTCCTCTGACTGATGTTCTAGTTTGTCCTAACATAGCGAAATCTCTTCTTTCTGTGTCAAAGGTCACAAAGGACTATCCCTGCTCTTTTGAGTTTGACTGTGATGGTGTTGTTGTTAAGGACAAGGTCACAAAGAGGTTACTAGTGCTGGGAAGAAACAGTGATGGTCTCTACAAGTTGACACCAAATAAGGTTCCCAAGCCACAGGTGCTTTACTCCTCTAGACAGCATTCAGCGAGTGGTGCTGTTTGGCATAGGAGATTGGGACATCCGAGTGATCAATTTCTGCAGTTTCTAGTCTCTTCTCAAGCCATTCCTCTAAATAAAAGTACAAGCGTGATGTGTCCTTCATGTCAACTTGGAAAGAGTTCAAGGCTTCCCTTTGGTGATTCCTCCTATGTAGCTTCTAGACCTCTTCAACGGATCCATTGTGATTTATGGGGTCCTGCACCAGTTGTTTCTGTGCAAGGATTCCGATATTATGTAATACTCATTGATAGTTGGTCTCGCTACTGCTGGCTTTATCCTCTGAAATATAAATCAGACTTCTGTTCTACTTTCATTATGTTTAAGAAGCTTGTTGAGAATCAGTTTAATACAAAAATAGCTACATTTCAATGCGATGGGGGTGGAGAATTTACAAATAATCGTTTTGTGAACCATCTGCAAGAATGTGGAATCCAACAATTTATATCTTGTCCACATACTCCACAGAAAAACGGCTTAGCTGAAAGGAAACACAGACATCTGCTTGAGCTCGCCCTTTCCATGATGTATGAGAGTCGTGTTCCACAGAAATATTGGGTTGAAGCTGTCTTTACTGCAAACTACTTGATTAATCTTCTCCCAACAACAGCTCTCGAGTCCAAAACCTCTCCGCATCAAAAGCTATATAGTAGTCCTCCTGATTATACTGCTCTCAGAACCTTTGGATGTGCATGTCTTCTAACCCTTAGAGACTATGCATCAAATAAATTTGATCCAAGGTCTTTACACTGTGTTTTCCTGGGGTATACTACAAGATACAAGGGCTACCGGTGCTTGTATCCTCCTACTGGAAGAGTTTACATCAGCCGGCATGTCCTTTTTGATGAGGAAGTTTATCCCTTTCAAGACATCTATGTCTCTCTACAGCAAAAGATCAGTACACCTCTGCACTCAGCTTGGATTAAGTCGATATCTCTATCTGTTGCTTCGAAAACCGAATCAAGCTCAGTTGACACTGGTCCAATCTACTTTGGTTCCTTAAGTGAATCAAACTCTCAGAACTCACCTTTGTTCACTGCAGCTGACTTCCCTCCTCTCACTGCTCCAAGCACATCAAGTCATCCAGTTCAGATAAGTGTGACTACTACTGATGAAGACGGATGTTCTGGGCGTACGGCGTGCTTTGATCACGATCCTATAGGCGACAGCATCTCGTTTTCACCAGCTAGGCCAGTCACACCAGATAATTCTCTGTCCGAATTCCCGATTGCTGCTCCACCATCCAGC